TATATCCGTACGGTGCCATTGGTATCTGGTCCACTGAGTCGCCACCAGTATGCTTATCAAGCGGGAAAATCAGCAGAATTGGCTCTACACAACTTAGTTGGTAGAGTATCCAGAACGCTGCAGGATAAAGAAATCTTGGTTTGTGCGTTTCTGGATATAGAGGGAGCGTTCAACAACACAATACCACAATCTCTTGAAAGAGCTGCTCTTGACAGGGGAGTGGAAGCAACTATAGCGGGTTGGATCCGCAATATGCTAGATAGTAGAATAGTTTCTACTTCAATCCACGGTGATACGATACGCTTCAGGCCGGGAGGTGGCTGCCCGCCGGGAGGGGTGTTATCTCCCCTGCTTTGGTCCCTCCTAGATGACGATCTGATTGCGATAGTGATCCTAGATACCATTTGCGCTTGGTGTAAGGGAGAGAACCTCTCAATAAACCCGCAAAAGACAATTGTTGTGCCCTTCATCAGGAAGCGAAAGTTGGATGGACTAATCCGTCCAACTATCCAAGGTGAAGAAATTCCTTTCTCAAAGGAAGTCAAATATCTAGGAGTAATCCTAGACAAAACCCTGTCATGGAATAGACATTTGCAGGGAGTTTTGCACAAAGCTAGACTATCCTTGTGGACTTGTCGCAGTCTTTGTGGAAAAAATTGGGGTCTTACCCCTGAAAGACTGTACTGGCTCTATATGACTGTGGTTAGACCTATGATCACATACGGAGCAGCAGCCTGGTATAGAAAAGTCCGACAGACTTCAGTTATCAGTAAACTTTCACGAATTCAACGAGTAGCTGCATTGGTAATCTCTGGTGCGATAGGCACAACGGCAACTCTAGCAATGGAGGTTCTGCTTGGCCTATCTCCTCTGCATTTGCATATAGAGAAAGTGGCTACAACAACCATTTACAGATTTAAACAATATGCTCAAAACTGTTCTGACATGCCCTACAAATGGGCTGCGGAAGACATTATAAGCACTGATACTGTGCTATCAGACAATGCCATCAGATTTGGCGGTATCACTATCAGTGATTAATGCTCGATACCAGATTGTACTGCCTGAGCGGCAGTCCTGGATCGAAAATGAAAATTCTCTGGTTCAGGCAGACATTTGCTTGTACACAGATGGATCAAAAACGCCTGAAGGGGTAGGAGCAGGAGTATACTGCCAGACACCTCGAATTGAGCAAGCTTACAGCCTGGGTACGTACTGTACTGTATTCCAGGCGGAAGTATTTGCTATTGACATGGGTGCTAAAATCCTTCTTGAAAGAGTGATGAAGAACATGACAGTACGAATTTTCTCAGAAAGTCAAGTAGCTCTCCAGGCGCTGCAAGCCGTGAAAACGATGTCGGCTCTGGTTAATGATTGTAAGAGAACATTAAACACACTGAGTTGTGATAACAGAGTCTCTCTGATCTGGGTCCCGGGTCACTCTGGGGTTGCTGGCAATGAAGCGGCAGATAAGCTAGCACGAGATGACAGCGCTGAAGCGTTTGTGGGGCCGGAACCAGCAGTTGGTGTATCATTTGCGATGGCCAAATATAGGATTGGACTGTGGGCTGAAGAGAGACTTTGCCTACTGTGGACCAGTTCTCCTGGAATGAGACATGCTAAGGTGTTTATTAACATCGCCACTGTCAAACCCGGAAATATTTTAGGACTTGCCCGTAGTAGCATAAAAGTTCTAATGGGTGTTTTTACTGGGCACTGCCGATTAAAAGCACTCCTCAACTTGTTGGGTTTAGCCGACGATGTTGAATGCCGACTATGTGCGGAGGAAGCAGAGACGGTTGAGCATGTTTTATGCCACTGCCCTGCCGTTAACCGTATCAGATTCTCGATTTTTGGGTCGCAGTTTATCTCCTCAAAAGATCTGAATGACCTTTCGCCGAGCAAGGTATTAATGTTCGTTAAGAGCATTGGACTGCACGGTGAAATTTGATAACGATATCTATCGGGGTACAATAGACCTTAGGGTCGCGGTGCAAGGTTGGTTGGTCCGCCTACCCGATATGTATTCTATGTAATGTAATGTAAAGCCGGCATCCTATTTATTTACGGTTTCTGTGACGGAAACGCATCAGCCGCTCATCGAGAATATCAGCAACGCTATCCAAATCGACGAATCCTCATATTAGTGTATTTGACGCCACTTATCGACGTCTAGCTGAGACTGGCAATTTAAGAAAAGCCGAACGTGTAGGACGTGCTTAATGTGGAAGAAGACATTTTGGAAACGTACAGTACAAGAAACGTCGCTGCTAATTTGGGGATATCACAATAGAAAGTCTGGTCAACTCTTCGACAAATAAGCAACCATCCTTATCATTACATACCTGTCCAGGCACTTGAAGACGGCGATCCTGAACGAAGGATTCAATTTTGCCGGTTTCTTTTAAATGCTGACATTCAGGATGAATATTTCTTGAGAAAGATTTTATGGACCGACGAATCGAAGTTTAACAGAGAAGGTATAACAAATCTTCATAATTTACATTATTGGACTGACGAAAATCCTCATCTAACGAAGGAAACGAGCAACCAAAGAAAATTTAGTGTGAATGTGTGGATGGGGCTCATTGGAAATAAGTTGATTGGTCCTCATTTTTTTCCCGATCATTTAAGTGGCGCAACGTATCGTGATTTTTTACATAATAATTTAATAGAAATGCTGGACCGTGTTAATTAATAGAGAGAATCCAAAATGAAGCAAATGTTTTAAGAACTACAATTACAAATAAAATAACAAGGTCGGAAATAAGCAAAAGGGCTCGAGCATGTATTAGGAATAGAGGTGCAGTTTTTGAAGCAGACTTGTAATTGGACCCCCTTTGTAATAAGGAACCACTGATAATTTTTACTAATAGGTATGAGTTAAGTATTTATTCAGAATTAAAAAAGGTCGTTTTGCATATTACCAATCAGCAACCAACGGTAAGGTTTTTTCCAGTTGGTTCCTTATTGCAACAGGGGGGTCCAATTATGTTTCGCGCTGAGTCTTTTTGAGTTAGAGTTAGAAGTTATGTCACATGATTGTTAATTTTTTTTTAATGTTAGTTGCTTAATTTTTTATGGTTGTCTGAATTAACGTTATGTTTTAGTTCCAATAAGCAACAATAAAATAGTAGGTGTAATCGATTTTGACTTTTATTAACTTTGGGTAGGTTGTCAAAATTGTATTCGCTCCACTTGTTATCTTATTATTGGGTAATTAGAAAGACATTTTGCCATGCTTAATACCTTATTCGAAATGTAAGAAAACAGAGAAGTATTTACAATAATTGGTACGCTAAATGTATTATCAAAATTTTGAAATAAACGCTCGTAAATGAACACATTTAAAAATTAACTTAAAAATCGAATATTTCACACCCTATATTTTTAAAGCATCGAAATATTTAAAATGTTTTTCAACCAAAAATGTGTATTAGAGTGTAATCTATCCAGAGAAGTCAATACATTGCCAAAGAAACTATTATTACTCTCTAAATTTCAAGATTTGTAAGAGTATGTACTGAATTTGTACAAAAAAATAAAAAATTGAAATAACTCCTAAACTATTCAGCTTTGCATAAGGCATATTTGGCTTAATCAATTACAAATGAGCTCTAGAACAACGTATTTCAATATTCACGTTTATGTACCAGTCATCCTGTATAAACCACCATTACAACACGTGAAATAAAGACATGTTAGAAATTCCCTACCATCAAAATAAGGGCTATGAATGTAAGAGAGTTCAGTAGATGTGTTAAATGTATTTTGTTAAATAATTGTTACTACAGTGTACAAGAATTCATGGAGTCCGACGTAAATTAGTCTCTGTAATTAACTTATAGCGAATCACGTTTTTTCCAATGTTTATTGAGAAAATAAAGAATTATTATTATTATTATTACTGGATGTCTTAAATTTGCAAATACTTCAATACCAATGTACCTAACCGAATTAATGATAATACAATAAGCAATTTGCTGTAAATCGTTTTATTTCAATTTGAACGGTAATTAATACTATATTTAAAAAAAAAACTATAGTTATGGAATTGATAAGAATTTAAAAATAATATCTAATAACAATAAATAATAAGTAAAACGTGTTAATTTAATGTCAAACATCTTTCCAATTAAACTCCAACGATATTAATTATAACACAATGTTATAGTTTAATTTATATTGAAACAAGAGTTTTTTTTCTGTATTATTTATCGCATATCGCTACTGGTGCCCACCTGTTTATTCATTTAATTACATTATCTATATACGATAAATAATCTAGGTATTCCAACAAAATAAATAAAAATTACGTTGATAAAAATACTTTAGAAAACACGAGAAATAAAGGAATGTTTTAAGAGGATCGTTTTCCAGCCTTGTTAAATTTTCTAGCTTGTTGGGTTTTGTAGCTGGTCGTTGGTGTTGTCTGAAATTAGAAAATAAGTATACACGTAAATTTAGTGCAACAACCTTTCTTAAGACGATGAATTAAATCATTTAGGGCTACGAGAGTTTCGCTCCGTTTTTCATTAAAACTTCTAGATAATTGAATAAACCTCATTTTAGTAGTCTTAAACTTAATTTTCCTCGTTTTCTCGCAAGTTGTTAATGAAACGATTGGCGACGGGAAATGATAACTCAAGTAGAAAGACTTTTCATGATAGAAACCTTTTGTTACACAGGTTATAACATAATTGCAAATAAAGCTTCAGGGGTAATAGCATTTTTTATTCATTTATAATAAGTTTAAGAAATAAATGCTTTTATTCAATTTTTTTTTGTTAATTATCGTAAATGAATTTGTTTGAATGTAATTATCAGTACGAAACATTTAACTCAACGTTGAAGATTAAGACTTTATTCAATTAACGGAAAACTTTTAATGAAAACCAGCAGGATGAAATCCCGTTTAAAATGGGTAACTTTTTCCCGAATTTACGAAATGTTTATTTTACTTGTCTTCTTCGTTTCTATTTACACGTTAAACATTTATTTAAGAATCACTCAAAACAATTTAATTTATTTCAAATCCCAATTTTACAAATATTACAAATTGATATCAAACTTTTCTAAACTCGAGCCGATTTTAATATTATTTCTTCCTTTATAAACTTTTTGAACTTTTGGTTTTTTACAGACGACATCAGTTAATTTAAAAGCCCTATTCTGATAAGCTTCCCTTTCAACTTTAATATTATGCTTTATAATATTTAAAGCTTTAGCATTTTCCTGATACGTTTTTTCAACTTTTTCAACTTCCATTTTGATATTTGTAATTTGATCCAAAGTATCTTCCATATCCAAGAGTAATTTACGTTTAGTTAACAAACCGGAGTCTTCTTGTAATCGAACAATATTCGACCTTAACGTGTCCCTTTCGTGTTTCAAGTCGGCCACTCGTTCACGAAATTCGTTCTTTTCGACTACGGCTTCGTCTAACTTGTCAGCCATTTCGATTATATCCAAATCCATTGCAGCCGATTTTTCCCTTAAATGCGCCAAAATTTGTATTGCACCTGAACATTTTTCACGAAGCTTCGCTAATTCTTCGTCACGTTCCTCGATTTTATCTGCATAATTTTGATTTTCCATTTTTAATTGTTCGTAATCCATCAATGTGTGGCTTTCACCAATTTTATCCATTATTTGTATTGCTTGTGTTACTTCGTCAATACTGTTACGTAATTTTATGTATCGTAAACGCATATCCGTAATTTCATTGCTTTTTAAACGTTGATTTTTTATAAGGCGTTCTAAAAGCTAAAATAAACGTGATAGGTGATTAGATGTTAATTAATTTTAGAAAGTTAATTTTAAATAATGGGTTTTAGAATAGGAACATAACAATTTTGTAACTTAATAGGAAATGGTATAATGATTTTATTTATATATATAGTTAAGACACGCCACAACAATAAGAAAAATGCTGACACCGTAAAAGATAAAGAAAATACTATATAAGTCACGTTTATAATCAATTGAAGGGTATAGGGAATAAACAGGCTAAGTCAATTTTTGTTGAAATCGTGTTAACACAGTCTGGTAAAATTAAAGCGAATCTTTTCGTCAATGTTCATAAAAAGGGGAAAAGACGGTTAGGTCAAGAGAAAACACAGAACTTAAATTTGGTGAAGAGGGAATATACAGGCTAAGTCCTTAAAACAAGGAATAAACCGGCTAAGTCGCAGCGTCAACTACCTGTTTTTGCTAACTCAGGGGAGTTGGTGAAAATTGACTTTTTTGCGCTAACAATAATATCAAAGAAGCTTCGAATTCCTAGTGTGAGTCGCAGTTTGTTTCTGTTGGTTTCTGTCAGTAAAGTGTTGTGTGGTGTTGTGCAAATAATGCAAGACGAAACTAAAGACTCAACGAATGGTCAGAGTACCAAAAACCGGAAAAAGTTTGGACGGCTACACGAAGTTCGCAAAAAACTTAGGCTACAAAGCCACGAAATGGGTCCGGACTGTAAATGTCGTAAAAAGTGTTTCGAAACCTTGAAGGAAGAAGTACGTAAAGAAATTCTACGCCACTTTAACTTGCTACTAACAGAAGATGAACAGAATTTATATTTGTGCGGTTTAATTTCCCTCGTACCAGTAGCAACGCGACGACCACGTCAACCTGAAGAATCCGCGGAACTTCGTGATGCTACATTTTTCTACAGAATTCGTGCAAAAATAAATGATCGTATTGAAGAAGTATCTGTTTGCAGGACGGCTTTTATGTCAATTCACGGAATTACTAAGTCAAAAATCGAACATCTCGTTCGTTGTTTAAAAATGACTGGCATAGCTCCAAAGAATAAAAGAGAAAAGCATAACACACGTCCAAGAAAATTAAGTCCGGAAGTTCTAAATATCATTCACGATCACATAAAAAGCTTTCCGAATAGATCATCTCACTATGGCTTACGGGATTCTTCAAAAATTTACCTATCTGATGACTTGAATATGAAAAAAATGCATAAATTATTTGAGGAAGTGCATCCACAAGTAAAGATATCGTATGAAACTTACAGAACAGTTCTAGAAAGGGATTTCAACACCTCGTTTGGATATCCAAGAACAGATACATGCGTACTTGCGATCAATATAGATCAAGATAGAAAGTTTAATTGAGAAGATTGAGCTGGAAAATACTGTTCACAAAAGCCAAGCAGAACAGTTTTACATTCGGAAAAAGCTTCTAAATTAGAATCCAAAAAGTCAAAAGAAATTGAAGCGATATGTTTTGACTTTTCAAAAAATTTACCTGCCCCAAACTTATCAACCAACGATGTTTACTATAAGAGACAACTATCAATTTATGCCTTCAACATACACATTTTGGGAAATTCTCAAAGCGTGTTTTATGTTTATCCTGAGTTTGTGGGAAAAAAAGGTAGTGACGATGTCGCTTCGTTAATTCACCACTTTGTGTACAACTTCCTCGACGAGAAAGTTAAGTCCTTATACTTATTCTGCGATTCGTGTCCGGGTCAGAATAAAATTTTTACAATTTTTCGTTTCCTGCATCATCTGGTTAACATAGAAAAACGTCTAGACTTTATTAAAGTTATATTTCCAATTCGGGGACATTCATATTTGGAATGCGACAAGAATTTCGGCTTGGTAAATCAAAAAACCAAAGTAGAACATCCTAAGGAATGGATTGCAGCTTTTGAAAATGCTAGATCCAAACCAAACCCATTTATCGTTTTGGATGTTACACAGGATTATTTTCGAGGGTGGACGAAGCATTTCGATACAATATACAAAAAGAAATGCCCCATTCTGTCCCGTCCTATTAAGGAAATAAAGGTGGAAAAAGAGCATCCACATCTACTATATTACCGCACTTCATATAACGGTGCATGGGAAAAGTTTTGTTATTACCAGCCCCAAGTCTCGAAAAACAAAGCTAAATAACAACGAATTTGAGCTTCCGGAGTGTTGCTATAGAGGTATGTTTAGTATAATGTTACGCTAAATATTACTCTATATTTACGAAAAATTTCAGATTTCCAAAGAGAAATTCTAAGATTTACAGCATATAGCCCACTTTTGTGGACCTGAGGCAGCAAACTTTTATTCGTCAATACCCCATAAATGAATGTTTTCTTGTTTCATTATTTAATAAAATATTATAAAACTGTTGACGCTCGGACTAAGCTGTTTTATTCCTAGCTTTTGGTGGTGTTACTGAGTAATTTTGAGTAAGTGTATTTATATAAACCGTACATACATAACAAAGTGGCGACGAGGATTGGAGTTCAAAAGGTACGAAAAGAGAAGAAAAGAAAGAAGAAATAAAAAAAATAAAAAATGGAGACCGGTATTTCTACGATGCAAACATTTACAATTGATACGTTCAATCAAACCACAACAACGTGGGGACGATGGGTTCGACGGTTGGAAGGAGCGTTCAAGGTTTTCAAAACACCTGAAGATATGAAGGTATTTTATTTACTGCATTATATGGGGGCGGAAACATACGACATTTTGTGCGACAAAATGGCTCTACAAGAACCGGACACAAAGAAATACAATGAAATTGTGGAAATGTTACAAACTTTCTACTCCCGGCTTTTGGAAACCAAAGATTTATCCCTGGAAAAAGCATTTCTAGTAGGCTTTGGCCCACCTCATGGCCAGAGTTGAAGAACATCTTAATCCACGCATTCGGGGATAAAAGATCGGAAGACGTCCTAATTTACGATCTTAATAGACAGACCTCTAGAAAAAAAGATACGACAGCCAGTTACGCAAATAAAATAAAGGTAACACTCTACACCCTTCTGTCGAAAATCAATTTAGAAGAAGCAAATGTCGCGATAAGACAAATATATTATGTAGAATCAGTTAGTCCATGTAGACAACCAAATGATTAAATTTTGACGGTCATCTGCCACAGTTGATAGAAATTATCTGTCTGTTAGGTCCTGAAATTGCGTGTTGTTGAATAGTATTTTTCGCAGTAGTTCGCCGTTTGTTTGTGATTGGTGTCATTGCATTAGTAAAGTTAGTGCCTCAAAAATGCCACGACTTCGAAGATGTGCAAATTTTCGCACGCATTTTCGCTTAAGCCCTTTGAAAGAGGATGAATTATCGGGATGCATGAGGCTGGTTTAAGTTTTCGGGAAATTAGCAGACGCAAGGGCCGACCTCACGCCACTATCCGACAGACTTGGATGGATTGGCAGGAAGAACACTTAGAAACCCATCGTAGAGGCAGTGGACGTCCTAGAGTGACAGCAGCACCAGAATCGACAATTTTGTGATGTAACCACTCCATTAATGGTGAACGATGCTTCGTTCGAAAATATTATGTTTTTTAAAAAAGTTCTGTCTTTCAAAATTTTGTACCCAAGCCAATAACAATAATCTAAACGTTTTGCTTCATCACCTAATTCGATAGTGTGGTTAAATTTTGGTTTATACGGCAATATTTTATTTTCTGGATAAATTCTTTTTTCCTTCCTTTTATTTTCCACATTGCCCGTGTCCGAAAATTTTTTAACAACTCCCTTAATTGTTTTTTTATCTACAAAAAATCCAAATTTTTCCTCAAATTGCCTTAAAACTGCATTGTAACTAATGTTCCCCAATCCATAGCACTGCACTATAAATATTTTATGTTATAATGTAAACATGATCAATTAATATTTGACAATAGGCTAAAGTTAAGCTATCAAAAGATAATTGTTAGCTCACTCAGATCATTTGTTTTTATTGTAAAACGGAATATTAGAAAAAAATTTCAAGAAAAAGCTCATTTTTTCTTTAATATGCTAAATTAATAAAATTCGACATATCGCTATAATTTAACATAACAAACATTTTATCTTAATCAATTTTTGTTGTACATTGCTCAGAAAGACCAGTTTACCTACAACAGTTAACAAACTTCTTGCGTTAACTTTGGTACTTTGAGGACATTTGACGTAAAACTTGGTTATATTTCGTTTTATGACATCCAGACTTTAATTGCAAAAGATGGAATTTGAATTCAAAAATTTATCGTCAATTATACCTTACGGGGACACAATCCGGGGACACACTGTAGATGCCAGACTGCAGTGGAGCCAAAACCGACAACATTGGGAACATGAATGGGAAACTATCGTCTTCAGTGACGAATCCCGAGTTTGCTTATGGAATTCTGCCGGACGTTTACGGATCAGACGACCTAGAGGTCAGAGGCAAAATTTACAGTTTGTTCAGTGTCACCACACGGCTCAAACTCCTGGTGTAATGCTATGTTAGTGCCTTCCAGAGCCCGTCCTCCCACACGATAATGCGCGACCTCATATTGCTCACGTAACGTTAGATCCCCGGACTTAAACCCTATTGAACATGTCTGGGATATGATGGACAGAAAATTGCGTCGATTACCCCATCCTCCCAACACTTTAGAGGAATTACGTCAACAGCTACAGGTAGCTTGGAATGAGCTGCCCCAAGAGGCAATCGACCATCTGATTTCCAGCATGCCACGAAGGGTTACTGAATGTATAAGAGTACGCGGAGATGCAACACATTATTAACGATATTGTCAATAAATATTGTCATTTGTTTATGAAAATTTAATCATTTGTTTGTCTCTAGGCACTAACTATTTCTACGTAATTTTGAAGTTCTGCGTCACCTCTTTCGGGGTGGTTCATTTCACTATTAATTATAGAACCTCGGTCGCAAACAACCTCGGCTTAATTAAATAAACCCATATACAGTTGTCCGTAAAGTAGTGGATATAGGCGATAAGAGCATTATACAGTAAAA